GGAGGAATGGTCTTACATTGTATATATTTTTTCTAAACTGGTGAAATGTTCAATGTTGGACCACTTCCAATGGATCGATCTTTATACGACATCATGGACAATTTTATAACTGTTGTACGACCGGTCTTTTCCTTATTTTAAACCTTAGCTTGCTGAGGAACTGGTCTGTTTTATGGCCGATTTTTAAATATAAGCGTTGTTTACTAACTCATCAGAGCGTGTTTTGTTTTTTCTTTAATAACCTCAAATTGCTAGAAAATTATCTATTTTTATTGCTTTATTATTTTAATTTTTTTAATAAGAAACTTTGTTATTCCGCCTCAAAATATAAACAGAACAGAATCTAAAAATAGAAGGAATAGGTCACTCATTATATGATCAGGTTCCTAAACTTTAGAGCTAATTACATCGAATGAATTCGGCACAGATGCGCAGCGATATATGCTGAATTTAAGAACAATCTAATGGATTCCAGCGAAAGGTTAATATTACTAGAAGGTTATAAAACACTATTTTATTTATTAGTTACACATATTCCTGGCTCACAATAAATTTGCCGTCTACTTCGGTATTCAGCAAATATGATATCAATCATAATAAATGATAGCATAAAAAAAAAAGAATAGTAATAACAAAACAAAAAGACAAAAAACAAAAAAAAACAGTAGTATAATAACACACACAAAAAAGATAATACAGCAAGTAGCTCAATGCAATAAGTCCCTTGGTCATCGCCTCAGCAGTCTTCTGGGCGGATTATTTGGATTTGTGGCAGTAGATAGAGCTTGAGTAAGTGGATTGGAATTTAGAGTCAGTCTGTCATGAAAATTATTAAAGCTGTCAGTGGCAGTTGTGATGAAAGGAGTGTCGAGGTCAGTGTGTAACGTAAGGTTTGAAACATAAAAGGGTGCGTCTACAATTTTCCGAAGAACTTTTGACTGGAATGACTGGATGATTTTTATATTTGATTTCTTTGCTATTCCTCATAGTTCGATTCCATATTTACAAAGTGGTTTAATGAGGTCTTTGTAAATAGTTAGTTTATTAGTCACAGATAATTTAGAACGTCTGTCAAGTAGCCTAGAAAGAAGTCCTTAGTATCGCTGATTAAGTTCTTTTATTTTTTGTTTTATGTGGTATGTCAGTCGTTTGTCCAAATGGAGGCCCAAATATCGTACAGTTTTTAAGGTTGAAAACACTAAAAAAAAAAACTAAGGTGTGTGCTTTAGACCACTCGATAGAAGTGAAAACATCAACCAGGCGAGATTATTAATATGACATATAAATTATAAGTAATAGCTCATTGTAAAATGATGGCATTTCCCTCGCTTTCAGTATGCAGGTCCGATTTTTAATTTCTGAGATATTTTAATCCATCTCTTCTTCAATAAAACTCGTTATCATTTGGTTTTCGACACTATTTCTTTTCCTTTTTTTCCTCTCTAACACGGCGTCGCGTTAAGATACAATTTTGAATAGTAGCCAGCAAGTCCAATTCTTAGTTTTTGAGATATTTTAATCAATATGCAAAACACTTCAATTAATCGACTCCAGCCGACTTTACCCGAGCGTTACCCTTTGGAGATATGACGGCTCAATATAATTCACTCACCACAAAAAAGTACAAAACGAGCATTGAAAAATAAAATTAAAGATAAGGAAATAAATACTTGTTGAATTTCAAAACAAAAAATATATAAGTAGAAAATAAACTGAATATAGATATGCAAATTACATTGAGATATAAGAACACTGGGATCATAATGAGCTTACATTTAACAGTCTATCGATCCTAAAATCCTATGAAACTACTGAACCATAAATAAAAAAAACGCTGAGAAATACATCGATGATCTTAGCAACGGACTAATGGATTTCCGTTTACGAACTTGTCCTATCTAACAATTGATGTTATGAACAAACAAAGAAAATGAGAGAAATAAATATTAATTTTTTAGTTTCAATTAGACTTAGATTGAGTATATTATACAACTGTCAACGTATTTACAAATTAAAACTCACAGCCGAATGATTATACAAAGGTATGGGTAGAAATAAATATAAATTATGGTGAATAATAATTATAAATAACTATTAAAGAAATAATATTGAATTATCAGAGATATATTTTTGTTATATATCGATAATATACAAATTAATATCAACAAGTTCCATAAGTTATAAGAGCCAAAGATAAAAAAAAAAATACGTTATTAATAAAATACAATACATTTATAGAAATATGGGATAACATTTCTAACCTCTAAAATTATTTTTGTAATATCGATAATTATTGACCTTGAGATATATTAATGATGTCAACGTATTACAGATTAGGAATCGGGGTCATTTTGAGATAACATTATGGAATATTACTTCCTCACTGCCGAAAAAAAGGAAGCATTGTGTTCGAATTATTTTTGGTTTATTATTTTCAATAATGTGCCATTGTAATCGACCAAAAATTTAACCCATCCTCAAATTTTGAGGTTATACGTTTCAGGCGTACGTCCGCGTATTTCCTCCGAAACTAATGGACTGATTTTTTTCAAATTTGAATTTAAGTTAGAGGTCACCCGAAAAACCTGTGTTGCTATAGACTGTAGCGCCTAAACGAATGTACCGATTTCAATGAAACTTGGTTAAACTCCTCTCGATGCCGTTTAAATTTATCTATGTAACAAACTTCAACGAAAAGAAGCTGGAAAAAAAGTTATGAGGAGTGGCAAATTAGATTTCGAATAACTCAAAAAGTATACACTTTTTGTCGATGTTGTATATGAATATATTTAAAAGTTTAAGAAATTTCCTAAAAAACAAAAAAAAGAATCGCTAAAATCGGAAAACTTGGAGCAAAGATAGATATCTCTAGATATTTTTTGTGTTCTATTGCAAAGGTTATATCTTTTGTTTTTGAAAAAAAAATTAATATTATTACGTTACTGAAGTAATGCTATTTTTTGTTTTTAGTAACGTACTCATGATGAAAAAAAAAAAAATGTTTAGGCCAATAATTGGAATCATCTTTTATTAGTTTTTCTTTCTCACTAGGAAGCTAATGTTACTTTAGATGTATAATTATTTGGAAATAATTTGCAACCTTTTTTTATATATTTCAAAATTATTCTAAAAGCATTATTGTTCATGCTATTACTTTTTTTCTTAACATATCTTCATCATTAAACATTATTTAAACATCATTTTATGTAGTTTCTTTCTTTTTCTTCCAAAGTAATTACCATTATTGAAAAAATAAAATACTGCCTTAACCACGGAGCAAAATAATGCTGTTACGGACAATTGTAAAAGCTCGACCTAGATATTGCCCTAACAGTGCGGGTCTATGGGTCCATGGACCCCCCATATTGTAGCCCCCATAATATTATCAATTAGCTAATCAAAACGTGATAAAGGTCCATCGAGTCATAAGGCTTCTGCTTTCTCCCAGCTTATCAATCATAAAAAAAATACATTAATGAATATGAAATGCATATAATTATATATACTGCATAAAACAGACCGTAGCGATCTGAGATCAGATTACAAACGTATGGTAGAAAAGGAACAATGAAGAGCTGCTCACAGAATCCGGTCAATCAATATCATATGATATGAAGGGAAGGGGGGGCATATAGCTCGGAACAATCCATCTGGAAGCCACTACACCACAATGAAAGTCTCATTAGTAGGCAAACGACCACGTGGAAGGCCAAAAACCAGATGGCTAGATAGAATTAATAAAGATGCAATAGAGCTGCATGCAGACAACTGGAAAGAAATAGCCTAAGAAAGAACGGTCTGGTGGATTTTTAAAAATCCGAAAGAAGTCTGATTAAGGCAGAAAAAGATTTAGGTCCGTAAGGCCTTTTAGGCAAGAAAAAAATGCATTTAATCAGATTATCTGAAATAAAGTGATCAAATATTGATAAGTTATCAATTATTTCTAAAAATGATCATATATTCCAAGTTGAGTCTCTGATTGTGTTGCTAACGAAAACGACTGACTTCGCAAATACCATAAAAGTATGTTCCAGGTATTGAGAGTCGACGTTGTATCCATTCGTTCACTCCAAACAAGTATTAAATGATTTTAAGGGATTTCTATAATAAAAAAGAAAATGGCCGTAAAGAAAATTTCCAGTAACATAATTTTTTTTTTACTGCTAGGTATTCGATATGTGGTTTTCAGAGGATCTTTACATTTCAGAGCCCCATGAGTACCAAAAACGCATTTTTAGTCCTTGGTCTGTTAGTCTGTGCCACCATTATTGCGTGAACAAGTAAACATATTTTGTCTGTGAAACAAATAGCCCTTGGTACAGACACCTTTTCATCAAATTATTAAAATCCGGCTAAAAAATCGTGAATGGATTCATCTCAATCATGGATTCATCATACAAATATTTTATTTACGAAAATTCTCGAAATCGGAGCGTTTTATCTTAGCTGGAGATCGTCAAACTTCGTTTATTTAATCAGGTACTAAAAATTCATGAATAAACATTTGAATCGTAAAATAATATGATCACAAAATCAAGAAAAAATGTGGCCTTCAAAAATATTGGTCCGTTTTACCTTTATAACTTTGTTATTTTGACATTTTTGATGTGGAGGTCAGGGCAAACGGACTAATATTTTTGTAGCACACCTTTTTTTTCTACTTTGTGATCATATTATCTTACGATTCGAGTGAAAAGCAAATAGAATTAAATTAATAAAGAAAAAAAAGGAAAAAATGTAAGGTATTCACATTTTCTAGAAAAAAAAAAAAACCATCGAAATTGAACTAGAATTAACAATGATGCTGCCAGTTCGATTTTTGACACATGTTTTTACTCCTGATATTGGTTTTATTGATGATTTTAGCATATTTAACCTTCGGATCCTTGACAAAACGAATTATTGAGAATCTGTTGTATATACACATATATAATTTTATTATGTTAAAATATTTACCTTATTTATAAAGTTTGCAAACATTTATTTTTTCTATATTACAGGAACCGAACCAGCTAAACAATACTATAGAGAGCTTGGCTGTACTGAGCTAGAAGGGGAAACAAACGCCTACAACTGCAGTAAGTAAACCCGATCGCTTTATCTAATTTATTCTAAATTGTTTATCTTAACTTTAGAACAAGCCTAGGCAATATATTTACCGATAAGGAGGTGTAGAGGTGTAGCAAAGATATCTTGCGCAACTCTGTTTGAATCTATTTACTCCAGGAGAACTTGCTGTAATTCAAACTAGTCAAATGTCAGATGTAAACATGTTAGTCCACGATTTTGTAATCCAAGAAAAAAGAAAAGAACAAAAAAGAAAACTCAAATTATAAACTTCTTCGTTGGAGATTTGGAATCTCTAGGATTTCCTTTTTTCTATTTAACGCTATAAAGTTGAAAAAATATTCAGTTATATAGGTATAATCTCCATTTAAAAAAACAACACCTTTTTGCACCACGAAATTTAATTGTTCTAGTTGATAGGGGTCGGTACCAGTAATAGAAATACCTCAGCAAAATTCTAAAATCTGTATTTAAGTATAAAGATGACGATAAAGATAAGATAAGATAAATGTTCAACTTAACCATAGAAAAACTTTTAGTAGGAAGGTATGAAACACATTGCTCTCAAGAGCACTGTAGAAAGAACAATGATAGGCATTTTAAAATTTTCTTTTGGAAACTTTGTTCATTTTCATCAATCTAAAAATAAACTGGAACCTTTAAATAAACAAGGAAGCTTATTATTTGCATTTGAAGTCCAATTTGTTCATACTACTAGGATAAAAAATATTTTTAAAATTTGGAACCAAAGTCACAGTTCACACTTGAAGCTATTTCGTTATCTCTTAACTACGAAGTACATTGAAAAATTTCTATAATAGAAATACACTTTATTCTTCTTCTCTCTTTTGTGTCTTTCAGTGTGGAGATGCCTCGATCCATGAATACTTGGTTTTTCGGTCCTTTGCTAGAGCCTTCATGTTAATTGTCCGCAAACATCTTTTCCGCCCGATCTGGAAGATGCAGCTCATCCACGACAATCTAGGTATTCTTCTTGGACGTTTTCATGTGGGTCTTGTCTCCATGAACTTTCGTGGGTCATGGTCTTCATTCAATCGGCATACATGCCCAAACCATTTCAATTGTCTCTTTTCTATAGAATCCTTCAGTGAGTTAGTGTCTAGTTCCTATATTATATATTTATCTCTGATCCGGTCTCTCCTGGTTCGGCCGGCTATCCTTCCAAGATATTTTATTTACCAAATGAGCTTCATGGAGGGCTTTGGTGTCGACATAAAGGACGTGGTAATGTTGGCAAAGAATATAATCCTAGACTTTCTGGGAATCATCCACCACCATGTGCTTGGGAGCGGAGAAGGAGAGAGTTCGTTCATGGGGAGGGGGAAAAGGTATAGATATATTACAACATTTTTATATTATTTATTGAACACGTTAGGTTAGGAAAAGAGAAGAGAAAATATGAGGAGGAATAAGAGAAATGTCTAAGGAGAAAAAAGGGAAATAGAATGTAAATGAAAGAAATAGTGAAAAAAAAAAATAATCCAAAAATAAAAAAATTGTTTACTATACTCATATATATTGATGATACTGTATATTTGTTTTAAGAATTGTGCATAGTAATGATAGATAAGTATACTGTGCCTGTAACAACCCAATATAATTGGGCAGCGCCCTTTTATGAAAATAAAGTGCTTCTCTCTGTCCTTAAATTTTCCTAATTATTTGTTTAAATGGAATCGGCTTCCACTCCCAAATACAAGGGTAGGTAGGTATACATATATTTAAAAATATGGATTTTTATGTTCTTCTGTACTTTCCTTTTTAATCTAGTTAGAAATTTCTTAATCGATCCTTCCATTCCTGTTAATAACTGCACCTGGATATGTGTAGGCCTCCACCATTTCCAATATCTCTTTTATATTCTATATATTTCTTATATACAACCTGTGAGAGACAAATAGGTCTGTAATTTCCATATTCACTCGTGTTTCCTTTCTTATGTATTCAGTAATTTCTGCAAGAGGCTCTGAAGGGGTTTCATCTGTTTAGGTCCTCCATATTTAATAAATTCTGGCACAATATCATTCCTACCTGCTGCTTTACCATTCTTTAATTTATCTACTGCACTTTTGACCTCTTCCTTTATTATCTCGTCAAATTTACTCTTTTAGGAGAGTTTCGCATATATTGAGTGTATTCACTGCATCATTTCTTAAAAAAATGTCTGCATAGTGGCATTTTTATTTAGAATTTCTAAATCTCTGGATACTTTAAGCGGACCCAACACAATCATTCATGAATGCCAAGGATTGCTTCAATCATGATGATTCTTACAAGCATGAATGATACTCACGCATTTTAGCTCAGTTGACGTTGAAATAACAGGCAATGTGGATATGGTGCATTGTCCATTTATAATTATTTGTTTTACTAAAAAGGCTAATTTAGCCATTATCCTTTATAGTATTGGGCATCAAGAGAAAAATGGAGATACAATAAGTACTCCCTAGTGCCTGAAAATCGTTTTGACAATAGTTAGAAAAATACAAGTCTACTACTTACAAAAATTAAGGAAAGGTATTATACGAAAATAATAAATTTGTTGTGAAAATAGAAACACAACTGATAAGTATACACAACAGTTAAAGATTAATTTTTTTCTATCAGTAAATTGTGAAGTTTCCACTTTTTTTTTTTTTTTGTTAATATATTGCCCACTTGACAATTTCAAAAAAAGTAGTTGAAGATGGTTTATAAAATCAAGGGATATGAAAAACTACTAACTTTTAATGAAAATCAGGAATTTACAATGGTTGCGAGGCTTAAGTAAGTTAACCTATCTAGTAGTAACGTTAGTCTCCCCACCACTTTTACCTCAGTTTCCACTCCACTTTTCGTGATTGAACCTTTGATTTCCAAAGTTTTGGAAATCCGCCAGACTCGTCCATCAGTACTTTAATCAGTTCCTTACATGATCAATCAGAACGTCAATAGTGTCTCGGAATGAAATTCCGAATGACCGTGTATTTCGTAGCAGTTGTTCTATAGATTCCTCCCGAATTCTAAAAACTAATTTCGACTCATTTCTTCTACTTATATAACGAACATTTCTCCATTATTTTTCAAACAATGCACTGATACCCCTAGGTTTCTCATAAAGATTGATTTCTACTTTTTAGAGGTAGAGTGCAACATATAATTTATGTGCCACACCACAGAGAAGATTTTTACCTATAGAATAAATACATGAATGGAATAAGATGCGAAGAGGTAAGGCCCCCCGCGTGGCAACGCGGAGCGACAGACGCGTGGGGTTGGCAAGTCGCCCACGACTTCCCGTGCGGCGGGACAGGTGCGCTATCCAGTACTGACCTTGCGGCTTGCAACCGGAGGAGCCTCTCAACGATTCAATGAACTCCTCCAAGAGGATGCTGTCAATCCAAGGAATATCGCAATATCATATCCAATCATCTTATATTCCAATCTCTATATACAATATGGTAGTATATATCCCATGAATGAGCTATCAAAAGAATGGGATTTAATAGAGAATTTTTTTTTTTTTAATTATTTATTAATTCATACATATAATAATCTGTCTTGTGGACAATAATTATAGTGATATATGAACCCATTCACACCATATATAAAGAAAATATAAAATTAACAAAAGTAAAATAATAATAAAAAAACTATGTACAATAAAAAAATAAAATAACCTAAAGATAAGTAAATTAATAACATAAAACCACATTTATTTATTTATTTATGCCTCTCTTCCTTGCCTTTCGGCTACACGGGATTTTGCAGGGATGGCACATCACACACGTGCATGCCATTCCTGCTATTAAACCACAAATTAATTTTCAATTTTGTTTTGTTTTTTCAAATATCTTCTTTTTTTTCATTATGTTCAATATATTAGTCTGGTGGCCTTCTATTAGCAGGTTCTCTTCCTAGATTAAAGTGAGAGGGTCCCAGAGCAGCTTTCCACCCGTACACAAAATCTTTGTAATACGGGTAGTTCTGCTCCGTCACTAACTCGGAAAATTCATCCTCCGTGAGGCCATATATTCCCATTTTTCTGATCTACATGCATAAGTAAAACCACATGCATACCTACATACAATCAGGGAGGAAACCCCAAGCCAGGCTTCTCCCTCCAACTATAGAAGGAAAAGCATGACTCTAAGAGATCCCTGCTCTACTCTCTCAACCATGCTAAAGCCAGTGGAGTTTGAGCGCTTTAGCCACATACACTCATGTCTTGAGTGGAGAATCTGGCCATTGCCAGAATTCCAAGGTGTATGCTACAAAAGATCTCTGGGCCATTGCCGCTTCAACCTCCGAGGAGGATTGTAGGGATGAGTGGAACTAGATAGGGATTGTGCAAGGGGGAGTTGGATGATTGATAAGGTTCTGATGGAATTTTGAAAATTTTTCAGGGATTTTTAAGGGACAAATGGGATATTAAGGTCATGATGTAGGGTTTTGTTGGTTACATAGAACGGAGACTATTGTTCGGAGGACTTTGGATTGAAAGGATTGGATGCATTTGATGTTAGGAAACTCTGCTGTCCCCTAAAGTTCAAGTCCGTAGGTCCAAAAAGGTTTCAAGATTGTCTTGCAGATCAGTAATTTGTTGTCAATTGAAAGTTGAGATTTTCTAGTCAGTAGTCTGTATAATTGGCCGTATCGTCGGTTAAGTAATAAAAACTAAGAGGGAATAAAAACTTACTATAATTACAAAAAAAAAAACTAGTGTATCCACTCACACGACTTTCCTACCTATTTCAGAAATTTTTTTTATATTTTTACATATGTCCATCAAGAAACAAAAAAAAAATTGAATTATATTTATTTTTCTGAAAATTGATCAAAGAAAAGATTTGAGTACGATTTATTTCATAAACTAAAGCAATGTAAACCGGCTTAAGATAGATCAGTAAAAAAATTTCAATGCCCTCTAATATTGCTGATCAAAAACTTTCTTCCACAGCCTAATTTTGCCGAACAATAATTTCTGTTAAAAATAGAGAAAATAGTGAAG